GGAGGTTGAGAGGGAGCAATCGGATTTGAATCAAACTAATTTCATACCTATGATGGATGTGGCTGATAATGCTGGGCATACTGAAGATGATGATGAGGATGGTTATGACGATGCTGATGATGAACTTTTTGTAGATAGTGAAAATATCTCACCGGCTGCAATACATGATTACGTTGATCAGTATCCTGCGATGGCTCAAAAATATCTGACTGAATACTGGACAAATGATGAAAATATCGATACGGTTTATGGCCCCAAATATGATCCAGTAACATCGAAATGGTCCCTCAACGGGAAAGAAATGAATTTCCATCGAAGAACTGGAGATATACTTCTTGATGGCTTTCGGTTCCATGGCACCCCAGGCCTCTATCAATTACTCTTCTATAATGATCCATCCTTTGCCAAAGATGATACGAACCCATACAAGCAAATACTCTTGCTCACCAAAGCTCATCTGAATTCTGCAGGACGTATGAAGTCCTCCTCTAGACTCAAATACGTAGAAATTATTCGTCCAATGTTCAGATCCAATTCCAGTGGTCGTGGTTTGAAGTTGACATACAACACAGCACCTATCGAATACATGTATTGGGATGATCCAAACGAATTGGTAGATAGATTGAAGTTGCTCATTGCATCACAGCAAGCCGGAAATACATCAAACGATAACGAGATTGTTGCCATCTTGAATGAATTAGAAGAGGCAGGCATAATAAAACATGTGTGACATTTCTGTGATACTTCCGTAACACTTCCATGACAACTTCCATGACAGTTCCGTGACACTTCCTTGACACTTCCGTGACAGTTCCGTGACAGTTCCGTGACACTTCCTTGACACTTCCGTGAACTTCCGTTACACTTCCTTGACACTTCTGTGACACTTTCATGGCATGTCTATGAGTGAAGGGGCTAATAATTGGCGATGCAAAGTGCCGACCATTATCGATAACGTACAATACTTTAGTCATTAGCATAATGAGTCTCGACAAATTCGGACGTGGCTCGTTTCCACGCTCAGCTCAGATGGTGACAGTCAGATCTGGATTTTCACATACTCCAACCGGTGATATTGATGTTGGTCATTTGAAGATGTGTAACGTAAAACTGCCAACAGATGCCGCTGATGTTGCAAACAAACAATATGTGGATGAAGTTATATCGCAAATAAAGTTAGATTTCAAGATTGCTTTCGATAATTACGGTGAAAAAATCCGAAATTACCTTGCTGGCTTCAGCAACGAAATAATCGAAGAAAGGAAGAGAGTGGATGTACATGATCTGAAACTGGCAGCGTTCAATACAAACTTTGTTCAGTTGTCTGACATAGTGCACAAGATCAACATACATGTGGAGCAGCTTCGCAACAACTCTCTACCAAAACTCGAAAGCGACATCGACTTGAATGTGAAAAATATTCTAGAACTTGTCGATAAGATTGACAACACTGTGAAGAGTTTGCACGATTTGAAGGCTGAGCAACAACACAGTCGTGATAAAGAACGCCAGCTTGCTGATGTCATTGATCAAATGAAAAAAGATCTGGCCAAGATTGCCATCACTCCAAAATCTACGACAACACCACCGCCACCAAAAAGGAAGCCTCCTGTGTGAAACCCATCATATAAACTCCTAATCCAACGAAGTCAATATGTCACATTCTAAAGAAAAAATCCAACTCGTCAATGAATTACATAGACCTGCTAGGAAAAAATTTCCAAGGCGTCGCATTATCATCAAAGGTTTGGATGACTTATGGCAAATGGATCTAGCCGAAATGCGACCTTATGCCTCTGTAAATAAGGATCACAAGCTGATAATGGTCGTGATTGATTGTTTTTCCAAGTACCTATGGACTAGACCACTAAAATCAAAAACTGGTGCTGAAATCGCTCGTGCATTTGCTGATATTCTATCGCATGCCAACAACAGAATTCCCAAGAATTTGCAAACCGATCAAGGTACCGAATTCTACAACGAAAAGTTTCAAAGTCTGATGAAAAAGTTCTCCATCAACCATTATCATACGTACACCATAATGAAGGCAGCCATTGCTGAACGTGTTATACGAACATTGAAGGAAAAACTGTACAAATTCTTTAGTTTGAATGGCTCATACCGTTGGATAGATGTCCTGCCTGAAATCACGAAAAATTATAATAACACGAAACATACGACAATAAGATGCAAGCCCAGTGACGTCACCAAAGCCAACGAACAAGATATTTTAAAATCCACGTACAATCACATCAAAATTGCTGGAACCAGAAAATTCGACGTTGGTGACATTGTGAGAATAAGCAAAGCCAAACATGTTTTCGAAAAGAATTATACACCAAATTGGACTACTGAACTATTTAAAATCGTAAAAGTTCGTATTACGAAACCTACTACATACATCTTGGAAGATTTGCGTGGTACACCAATCAAAGGTGCCTTTTATCCTGAAGAATTGCAAAAAACTATAAATCCTGACATCTATCTAGTGGGAAAAGTTTTAAGAAAAAAAGGCAAAAAGGTGTTTGTCAAATGGCTAGGACTCGATGATACACACAACAGCTGGATTGATTCCACCAACAAGTTATAATGTAATCATATGGAAAAATAGCACAAATTCAATAGGTGTGAGGGGCCTTTCATCGATCACTAACGAATAACCTGTTATTCCAATCTGCCGGATGTTATGATCAGTCAACAGTTATGGTATAAATAATGAGGACTGAAACTTTCAACACATTAGTTCTAGAACAATGAGTGAAGACTCTGGTTATTCATCTAGTGAAGTGCTTTCCGAAAACGGTAGTACTAGTTCATTGGCAATGATGGGCTATTATGGTGACGTTGATACATATTTGGACATGATTGAGCAAGCAGCGAAAGCCGAATCGTACCTCCTGCTGACTTCATCGTTCCAGTTGTCCACCTACATGATTCAGTGCGGACTTAGTCCAGCTAGACAGTTTAGTCCGAGCATCATCCTGAAGAAACCCTTCCATCCAGCGAAAATTTCGTTCTCCACATATGAATGGGCCACCTTCATCGATTCGCTGTATAAGGTACAACAAGACTTTTTTGAAGCACCCCTGCCCTGTTTCATTGATGAATATGATCCTGCCGTTACCACCTGCGGAGACTATATCACCATAACTAAATTCGTTTGCGATGGTGTCAAAATGTTGTCACTCACCAAATACCACATTACATTCGAATTGGTGGAAGAGGATGTTGCAGACATTTTGAGGGCTGAAACGTGTGTTGTTTCACATCGAGTTGCGCTAATAAACAAATTGGACTTTTCCATGTATTATCAGAACATTTTGAATACTATAGCTGATTGGATTAGAAATAGCCTGACTGATTTGGGTGCGGAAGAGCTTATATCTGGATTTTGTGATGTTTGTGATAGCATGTCTAGTAACGCTCTCAGAGAATATCTATATTATTGTAAAAATGAGGTTATGTCTGATTTGAATAAAATGTTGTGAAAAATGTGACTAGTTTTTTTTCATTTCATCAGTCTACAACTTGACGCGAGACTAGTAGCATCTGAAATATTTTAGCTCTGCTCGAAAAATCATGAAGTCTGAAATAGCTGTGCTATTGGAGTTTATAAAATCTCCCGCTTTGACTTTGACGAAATTCACTGAACAAGAATTGCAGTACATTCCAGTAGAATGTCTCATTGAATATGCAGATCCTTATGGGCTATTAAGGGTGTGGCACAAACTTCCTCAAGAATATCGCAGCAACTTTAACCTACAAATCAAACTGCCATGCTTCGTTCATTATAATCGTCCCGATTGGATCACACACTGGGATGGACCGCCATCTTCTCAAGAGGCATGTCATTTTTGTAGAAAAGGATTACTTAAATAAATAGATTATTTATCTTCGTTTTCGTATTCTTTCACCCCCATGGGCTGCCCTGTATATATTTTTTTTTCAATCTTCATCAACTCAAACGCCCTGTATATATTTCTTTCAACTCAAACACTTCTTCCATGCTAAAACATGGGACCGCGAACCGTGGGACACTCTGTATATTTTTTTTTTCAATTTTCAATCAACTCAAACGCCCTGTATATGAAAATTCAATCTTGTTATTGTCATTAAAGTCGCAGTTTGAGGAATGGGTATACGAGCGCGCGCTTATCATTCTAAGGGATCTCTCGCTTTGCTGGAACTTCGAACGCCATGAAGGTAACGGCATGACGTCACCCACTTTAAAATAAATAAATAATCCAAGTATTCGTTTCCAATACGAGCGCGCGCTTATCATTCTACGGGATCTCTCGCTTTGCTGGATCTTCGAACGCCATGAAGCGAGACAGCGTTGCCACACACAATAATGTAACAATATTAACATCCAAACCCATACGTCCGACAACGTTGCAGCGCCGAGCTCTCGAGCCTTACTCTACCTCGATAGATCCGTTGCAAAGATAAGCGCGCGCCAGCGATGGATATTATTTTCGACTCGAAGTTTCTTATCTCTGGAATGCATCTCTCGCTTCACTCTACCTCGATAGATCCGTTGCAAAGATAAGCGCGCGCCGGCGATGGATATTATTTTCGACTCGAAGTTTCTTATCTCTGGAATGCATCTCTCGCTTCACTCTACCTCGATGGATCCGTTGCAAAGATAAGCGCGCGCCAGCTATGGATATCCCGTTTGAATAGCATTAAAATAATTGAAATATCACGGAGGTCGGAATACCACAGTGCGTATATACGCTGCCTCATAATGCAAAGGTCCCTGGTTCAATTTCCCCCGGCGGTGACAGCTTTTTTTAATTTATTTATTCACGATGGCGACGTGACGACGTATGAGTAATTTGAATTTCGCGCCGGTTTTTAGTGGGCGTGGCCTCCAACCAAATGCTGGTCTCTGATTGGCTTGAGCCAGAATCCCTATAGCCCCTCTACTGCTTTTGTCACTACAACTCTGAAACACCTTGTATAAAAACCAATCAATGTTGACACTCGATGAATCGTAGGTTGTCCCATTCCATATCCGAAAAGGGAGTTTCTGACTGACGACGACCAGGACGAGAAGTCCGACAACAAGAGACAGAACCAGCAGCAGCAACAGCCCCAGCAGCAGCAGCAACAACAACAGCAGCAACAGCAGCAGCAACAGCAGCAGCAACAACAGCAGCAACAGCAGCAGCAACAACAGCAACAGTCCGGTCAGCAGGACAACCACAATCCCGCGAAAAGGGTGAGGATGACGGGACCTCAAGGTCATCCCGGACAGGTCAGTAATTTGAAGGACCTCGCACCATTTAAATTGAAATATTGTGTCTACCGTGAAATGTTATGAAAATCTAGTATTAGATAGATTAAATCATGCTGAACAAGTTATGTCCATTGGCCCCAGGCCCGTTACCCAGCTAGCATTCACACGTCAATTTCACGTCATATACGCGTCACCAATTACGTCAAGATGACCAAATTATCGACGTTAAAGAGACGTAAATGTGACGTCAATATGTCACATCGAAACGACGTCATTTAGCGACGACGGTACAGAGTCATTTAACGACGTCGTTAACACGTCGAATAGTTACCAAGCATAAGGTCCAGGTTTCGACATCACAAAGAAACTGTGAAACTCGAAATCACTTTCCCATGATACTATTCCTTGATGGTTGGCAAAACAGTTCAAATGATCTAGTTACAATAGTTGTGGATATTCTTTATTTGTTTACATAATTATACATAGGTATTCTTCATCTGAATAAAACTATTGAGCATGAAATCCACTATATTACAAAGTATATAGACATAAACGAAGATGTCAAGTTTCAAAGGAATCTCAACCTAATAACCTCAAATTATTCTTGTACCTACGATTTTAGGTATTTATAGATTACCTTCTTCAAATAACGACCTCACTACATCGAACAACTTCCAAGTTTCATTTGTAGATTTCGATTTCTTAATTATTGAACTGTTGATAATAAAGTCTTGCTGTTTAAAAGGCGGCCACTACACTTCGCAACCTTACGAGGCGCCATGGCGTCAACCACTTCTACTGAACGAGAGCAATGCCTCTCCTCGGAATATTGTATTCCCACTAACATTTCTACTGCCCCGAATTGATAAAATATCCAGCGAACTGCAATATATTCTGCTGAACCCCACTTTTCCATAGTATCCTTGTTTTCCATGACCCAAAATCACGAATCCGCCATTACAACATTCGATGAACTTGATCACGCATGCGCATGATTACGACAAACTGTGCTACGATCGACGATGGCCGATAGGGGTAACGGTGGCATTGTGCGAATCTAAGACACACGAAGCCACTGAGCACGGATTGACCAATCATAAGCATCTGTATGTCTTGACGTGGCGCGCCAATATAAAACATGAAGGCACCTGGTATAACCGTATTTGTATACATATAATAAATTCTTGAATCTTTCGTATCTGTTTCCAATTTATCTCTATCAGGGTGTTTTTTATTAATATTTTTTCTACATATTTCACCATTTAGTTTTAGCCATGTCGGGTATACGTGAATTCTTTACTAAAAGGTAGGTACCTATTTTATTTTGATGAGCGTTCAATCATGAGTCCTGGATATGCCCCTCATGGAGTGATTTCTTCGAAATAAAACAAAATGATTGGTGCAGATGTTACGTCTAAATGACGTCAAGTGACGTCTATCAGATACGTTTTTGGAACACGTCAAAATCACGTCATTTATTGATCGAATCTTGACGACGACCAATTGCCACCTATTATCCACGTCGATTCGACGAGAATTGACGTCACCCTGCTGGCTGGGTATGCCTGTTAAAAAAAGTTACGAGCCCTTGAAGCCAAACGAGATAACCTCTACTAGTCACTAGATGGTATTAGTTAGATAAGAGTTCGGACCCAGAAATGACAACTGTTAGAGTTTTTGAATAATTAGAACGATAATATGTCAACAATACTATCAAACTAGAGTATTATTATGACAACATAACATTATGTTTCAATTTTTCCGGCACCTACTATCTAAAATTGAATAAAAACAGGTGGAGTAATCACTTTTCATTTTGTGCGAGAAATGGTTCTGAAATCATATTGTGTGATACGTTGCATGTAGTCCTTAAAAAGTGTACATGGCAAAGTGCTATTTGTTTTACATTTCCTTCTAAAATAAAGCTAAGAGAAAATAAAAACGAAATTCTCAAATTTCGGTTTCTCTCGGATCAATCAATCAATCAATTTATACATCCTGTGGAACTCTCAAAGGTTATAGGACAAGTCAAATTATAGAACCTAAATATAAGTACACAGATGAATACTAATGTAAATGGTTAACAGTTAAATAAAATAGCATCAACTAAAACAATACGAAAGCAGCACCAGACATGTGACGTATACAATCTTACAATCATACATATAAGATTAAAATGTTAATGACAATCGGTCAAATCTAAAATTCAAAAAAATATTTTTGTACAACTAAATCGATTCTATAAAATCTTGTATTGAGTAAGGACATAGATCTATTAGAACTTTTTTCAGTTGAAGTTTGAAGGTATGGTTTGGCAGACTTCTCAGATTGTGAGGAAGGAAGTTGTACAAGTACAAACCAAAGACGTGTGGTGCTCTTTTGGATAATTCCAGATGCTTGAAGAGCACGTGGAAGTTATCTTTTTCCCTTGTATTATGAGTATGAGTGTCACTATTTCTTAAGAAGGTATCTTCATTGCAATGTACGTATGTCAATAGCTCAAAAACAAATATGCCAGGAACTGTTAATATTTTGTATTTGTTGAAAAAACTAGGTGGACAGCCCACAAGACATCTTATGATGCGCTTCTGAGATATAAAAACACTGTGTGCAGCTGGAGTGTTTCCCCATACTATAATTCCATATAAAATTCTGGAGTGGATTTCGGCATAGTAATATTTGAGGTGGTTCAGACTCAATGCACTTTTTAGGTTTCTTAATTGATAGCACTTGGAGTTTACATTTTTACTCAGGTTAGTGCAATGAGTCCTAAATGACAAGGTGGAATCGAAGTACACTCCTAGAAATATAATGTCTTCAATTGCCTCAATTGTACTATTATTTAAATTGATGTTCAGAGTTGGTGTGTTTGAGTTTTGGTGGGTATGAAATACTGTGTAATTATTTTTACTGGAATTTAATAGTAAGGATCTGTCAGAGGACTAAGCAGATAATTGGTTGACTGACTCCGAAACTACTCGGAATATGCAAATGGCATATCATTAGGCACATAAATGCGCTACTTTTCTCTAACCTAACCAAATTTGTATCTCCTACCGTTTTCGAGATCCCCATGCCATTTTCTAAAAAGAAGATTTTAGGATCCTTTTGAGAGAATATGCTGTTCCCATAATTTACAAAACAGGCTATTTAAAAAAAACTAATATTATCAGGACACGAAATGCAAAACAAAATTATCATTGAGAAAGAGGAATTCATTGCAAAACTACGCAATAAAATTGGAAATTCGAGAACGATACTGAGGAAATTGAGTAAATTGCAACGTGATATATATTTTTTTCCTTTATTAATCCCAAAAAACTATTACAAGTTCATAGAGGGACAATCTACTTACTGATTCATTGTCGTATAAATAACATACTTTTTCTACTCACATAACTAAAATGGCATTTAGCGTACGGATATGTGCCACGCTAAATGATCGGTTAATCACGGATTGACGATATGTGATTCATTCAAAATATTGAACACGTTACCATGGCAACACGATTTCTTAAACACATTACCATGGCAACGCAGTTCATTAAACACAGCTTTGGTAATTTGAGACATGTTTGACCTGTCAATTGTATTAACTGTCAACTGTCATTTTAGAATTTTGTATCAGAATTATTTAAACAATATTCGTTTGTATCAGAATTCTTCATTAAAAATATATGCGAACAGTAGACGAAAGTGGAATCGAAGAGAATGTTCTGGTACTTGCATATCTCCAAGAAGTGTAAAAATGAAGCATCCATCTTTGAGATCAATTCATTTATTCTGCGCTAAGCATTACAATAAACGTGAAACAAAGGTTAGTAAGCATTGGACTGGACACATCTATAACCAATATCACTTATACGTGTCTCGCTGGTTGCATGCAGTTGCATGTATTATATTCTCAATTCCCATTCCTTTCGAATTATTTTGTAGGTTAGCAGGAATTGCAGGTTTATAAACTCTTCTAGACACTCGTTTATTAAACACTCGCTCCGCTCGTGCTTAAACTACTCGTTACTAAAAGGACGTTTATAACACTTGTTAAATAATATACTAATTTTCTACTCACATAACTAAAATGGCATTTAGCGTACGGATATGTGCCACGCTAAATGATCGATTAATCACGGATTGACGATAGCAGGTATGTTAATGTAATTTTCGGAGTTCGTAGAAAAAGCGTAGTATGTAACGCGTTTATAAACTCTTCTAGACACTCGTTCATTAAACACTCGCTCCGCTCTGCTCCGCTCGTGCTTAAAATACTCGTTACTAAAAGACGTTTATAACACTTGTTACATAATATACTATGATAATTTGATTTTGTTATACTTAAAAATTAATATCACAAAAAATACATGAAAAAATATATATAACACGTCTTATACCTATATCAAGTCACTGAAAACAAAAACAAGTAAGTATGAGTCTTATGTTCATAAATAATTTAATTTAATTTTCCCCTGTCCTTCCGTTTCTTGAAGATGTTTTTTCATCTCAGATTTAAATAAGTTGAGTGGTAAATGCTTAAGATAATATGTGTAACTTATTCCCTTGCGTGTTATGATAGCTGGCAGTTCTATTTGAGAGTGATTTCTTGTGTTGTATGTGTGTATATTATGCCTGTATCTGATACTTATGTGTCTAGATTTATTTAGTAATTGATGAATAAAAATGTTGTTTTGATAGATGAATATTTTCTTCATAGCCATAATGTTGAAATCTTGATACAGACTTCGAGTGTGAAAACAGTTATCCAATCGGTACAAGTTCTTGATAGCTTTATTCTGGAGTTCTTCAAAGGGTTTTAATTGATTGTTGAATGATATAGCCCAAATTATAGTGAGATACTGTAGATGTGAATGAATTAATGAGAAATATTCAGATCTTAAGAATTTCCTTGTAAGAATTCAGTCTCCTCAACACTCCTGTAGGTGCCGATATTTTCTTTTTTATGTAATCAATGTGGTCACTCCAAGAGATGTTTCAGTGATGAACTATGCATGTTAGTATTTCCAATTGGATTACTGCTTTTACCAATACACATAAATGATGATTTGTTTACGTTCAATGTTAACTTATGGCTGCACAACCATTTCCTTATTATTTCCATGTCTCCCTGGATATCCAGCTGCAAACTCTCGAATGATTCAAAGATATACAGCAATGTAGTATCATCTGCGTATAGTTTAATGTTTCCTTTCAGATTAATATTAGTTATAGAGTTTATATAAATTAAGAAATGGGTGGCTCCAAGGATTGAACCTTGTGGAACCCCGCACGTAATTTCTCTTTTCTCGCCATATCTTTTCTCACCATCATTATTGAATGGCGTTTTCAATACCGACCAAACTCAAAATGTTTTAGTGAAAAGTGAATAGCAAAAGGTTGAAAATTGAAACAATCTTCATGTTTTACACTTCATCACTCGATAAAGTTTTACATACAATAAGGAACTAGGTATTTATAAGTATATCCACATGTGTCTATTTTGTCATTGTATTAAAATGTTGTTGCATGCATTGTTTTCATGTTTATAACTACTGTTCTGCGAAAAATGTATCCCTATAAATTGAAGTGGGTATATTTATACCCTATTTATATTTTACATCTACGGTTGATTGATATGATTGATTTGACAGAAAATATAACTTCTAAAATCGTATCTGACTATCAGGCGCTACTAGGGAAATTGAAAAGACAAAGAGCAATATATGTCACTGAAATCTTTGTAACATAGAACATAGAAAAGGACAGAAGTTCAACTGTGTCCAAACTCTTATCGAACTAATACCATCCAGTAACACTAACCTCTAGGGGTGGGCGATAGTGATTTTGGATTAAAGACTATCGATAATCACAATGTATTCATATTATCGGTTTATCGATATTATCAAAATTGTCGATATTATCGAAGTTATCGATATTATCGATAAATCGATCATTTTTTATGAATTATCGATATTGTCGATATCTTTTGCATCTTCGCATCAAGTACCCAAAAAGGAACATTAGGTGTGCTATGAGTAGAAAGCGAACTAACCTACAACATCAAAATAAGAAGAAAGTAGGTGGCGCTTCTTCCGAAGGAATGTTTACACTTGACATATCACGCATAATCCAAAATGTTGATAACATTTTGATGTACGAAAAATATTCCGAATTTTATGATGTGGACATCTTACTATGAAGAAAACTTCAACCGGTACGCCACGTTGTAAGTCATAATATTGGGCAAGTGTGATATTGCCTCCGATATTATTCAATGAAAGCGAAGGTCAACGCTTTCCTATGACTCCTAATGCTGTCTTTCTAGTTGGAATGGACTACAATTAACAGTCAACGGATATATTTCGAAAAGTATCAAAAATCATCAAGAATGGATATCAAATAAAAAAATTGCTTGAACCCAATCTGAGGGAAGCCATAAAATGGTGGCAGAACAGAAAGGATACCTATATACCTTCTTTTGTTCGCCACCCCAGGTTCGCACAATGCTTCATGACCATAATAGGGATCCTTTCCGTGCTTTGTAGAAGATAAAAAATAATACCATGAAAATGATGCTATCTTCACTGTAGACTTATTTTAACATGGAAAAGCGTAACAGTAATTCACTTGAAATTTCGATGAATTAATTTTTCAGAATAGTTTGTTTGTTTTTTTTCAGCAAATTCCTATCTCCCAACAACAGGAGTTTCACCAACAACAAATGATGTACAATAATGGATCACAACAACAAAACTTCCAGCAGAGATTTTGAATAGTTTTAGGTTCTGTTTTTATATCAAATTGTTCTATTAATATATTTATTGTAAGTAAAAATTATCACTAGGTATACAGATTGTTTTTTTTTGAGAAACGATTCAATATAGATGGTTGTTTTATTGATTGATATCGACTACTGAAGTGAAAGAACAATTACCTATAATCTTATCAGTGACATTAACTATGCCAAAGATGCATTTCGTGAACATATAAATATTCCTCCACACAATAGAAGCATTCATTATTATTATTATTATTTTTATTATTATTCTTATCATCATTATTTTATTCATATTCAATGTAACAAACATGAAATCATCTCTACAACTTTTAGGGTCACACAGGTATAGAAAAAAATGGCCAGCATACAGAATTTCCAATGCATTTGAACTATTCAGGGTTTTTCACGATGAACGTTAATTAGATGTTTATGGCAAACCAAGCAAAAAATGAATCTGGAAATATGATATTATGAATAAATTGACATGATAGTGTCAGCAACTTCAATATCTCAAATGGAACACTCTGTATTTCATTGCATCATTTGATTCTCCCTGATGAACTGATTTATTCATCAATGCACTTGCGGGTGTTCAGAATCAAGATTTTTCAACTTTAGAATTTTTTTGTGTTGGAACTATTCATTATCGGTCAAAACGGCTCAAATGTTTCTACCTTATCTTTCGATTAACTATCTACTGATATTTGATTGGAACAAATACAGGGTGCATGGTTCAAAAGATTCAGAATTCTGATCACCCTGTATCTGTTTTAAGTAAATATCAGTAGATATAGTACCTACATCAAAAGTTAAGACAGGGACATAATTATTATATATGTTAGCTGTTTTGCCGATAATGAACAGTTTCAACACAAAAAAATTCTTAAGTTGAAAAATCTCGAACACCATATCTCTATAATCATATTCCTGCTAGAACTCAAGTGTGATATATTGATGAAATCAGCTCTTCAGTAAGAATCAAAAAATGAAATGAAATACAGCGTGTTCCCATTTGAAAAATCAAAGTTGCTGCTACTTTCAAATAAAGCGGCAACGTTCGCATCGTTCGAAATATTCTGGACGTGTAGATCATGTCAATTTATACATACCATCAAATTTTTAGATTCATTTGTGGTTTGGATTGCCATTAACATCTAATTAAGGTTCATGGGGAAAAACCCTGTATATACAGTGTGTCCCACTTACCATGCTCACACCATGGGTATCTTTTTAACGGTGAGTGATACGAGGTCGGTTGAATGACACCAAATGTGGAGTTTGTCAAGGTCAACTATAATGTGAAAAAATATTTTGATAAAATCTATTCGTTTTTGTTTTATACGCAAAAAAACAGATTTTGATCATTTCCATGTCTCCTCCGTAACTTCTTTATTTATGAAAATATTCAAATAGGAATTTCACATTCACATGGCAGTTTTTCAAAATGATTATGAAAAAAATATGAAATTTATAACAACTCTTCTAATATTTGAGATATCAGCACCAACTTTAGTTTTTCAAATGTAGGTCATAGCTCACTATGACTTAGTTACAAATAACTTTTTTTTCTCTTAAAGATGATATGGCGCATTAATAGTTTTGTGTTGATAACAACGGAGTTATCGTCATTTATACAAAAACAAAAAATTATTTGGAAGCCGCCATCTTGAATTTAAAATTTTTAACAAAAAAATCATGATCTCCGACCTCAAAAACCCCCACTTACCAATTTTGAATGGAATCGGACCAAATCTTGTCCGCCATCTTGGAGCAGCCATTTTTTTTTTAATTTCAACAAAAATTCCATAATGAATTGTCACCGAAATTATGAACACCTGCCAAATTTCAAGTTAATCGAAGTTATGGAATTTTCGCTGAAATTAAAAAAAATGGCTGCTCCAAGATGGCGGACAAGATTTGGTCCGATTACATTCAAAATTGGTATGTAGGGGTTTTTGAGGTCGGAGATCATGATTTTTTTGTTAAAATTTATGAATTCAAGATGGCGGCATCCAAATCATTTTTTGTTTTTGTATAAATGACGATAACTCCGTTGTTATCAACACAAAACTATTACGCTAATTTACAACTTTTGTGTTTAACAGAAATTGGCATCAAGAAAACAATGTTGGACAATATAATTTTTCCTGGCTTCAGTTTGTGTAGTTTTTACTGTAGACCAACGAAAAAATGTGGTGGAGTAGCGATATGGGTGCGGAATGATATCAAGGCAACTGCTATTGATCTTGGTGAGTTCTGCATCCAACAACATTTCGAAGTATGCGCTATCTCATACACACTGAATTTGCAAAAATTCGTCATAATGAACTGTTATAGATCTCCTTGTGGAGATATAGACGTATTTTTCAACAAAATTTGTGAAGTACTGGATCTTATTTATAAACCTGGAATAATTTATTTTGTTTGTGGTGATTTTAATTTCGATTCATACTCAAATGTTAATTTTATATCTTTATGTAATGTGATGTCACGTTTCGACTTTCGCCCACTTGTGGGTTGGCCCACAAGGATTACTAATTCCATCTGCACTTTGATTGACCAGATCTTCTCTAACTGTAACAATGAAGAATCATGTTATGTTACTGATTGTGAAATATCTGATCATCGTGCGATATTCTTAGATATCAACGAAACCTCTTCTCTGAAATCAATCAATAAAACCGAAATGAAGAGATGTTTCAATGAAAGTAATAAAGTAAATTTCGATTCTATGTTACAAAAAGAAGAATGGAGCAACATTTATGAGTATGGCGATTGCGAAGAAGCCTTCAATTGTTTTTATGACATATTTTATCATTATTTCGAAACTGCCTTCCCAAAACGCAAAGTATTTTTGAACAAAAATAAACAGGGCTGGATTGACAATCTCGTTAAAGAATCCAGCTGCTCATTAAAACATCTATTCTACTTGAAGAAAGGTAACCCTGCTTTAACTGAATTATATAATAATAATAAAAAACGGCACCTTAAATTGGTTAAAGAAACAAAAAAGACATTTTATCAAAAGAAAATTAGTATGTCAGATAACGATCCGAAAATGTTGTGGAATGTTGTGTCTGAACTTACAAACAGAAGTAAAAATGCATGTGATAGTATCTTCATTCAAAAAAATGATGACGTTATCAATAATCCATCAGAGATCGTGAATGAATTGAACAATTTTTTTATCGAAGCTCCACAGGCCTTAATACGTGATATTCCGAGTAATGATTATCATCGCCCGAATTTCAATAATGGTAAAGGCATAGAAATGAATCCACACACAATGTTTTTAGAGCCATTTAGCGAATTAGAGTTGTTCAATTTAATCAATCGTAAACTAAGAAGCAAACATTCGTCAGGAACTGACGAAATTCCAGTGTTTCTACTAAAAAGAGTTTTGCACATTATCATAAAACCGATAACTTTTTTAGTGAATCTTTCTTTTTTACATGGTAGTTTTCCTACAGCGCTAACGCTAGGAAAGGTAACTCCTCTGCGTAAGAACAAAAAATTATCAACTTTAGAAAATTTTAGACCAATTACCGTCCCACAGAGCTTCTCGAAAATCTTCGAGTATGCATTCCTAGAGCGTTTGAATGATTTTCTGGAATCACACAAAATTCTGATACCCATGCAGCATGGTTTTCGCTCTGGAAAATCGACTCAAACTGCTCTACTAACTTTTTATGAAAACATTATGGAGTTTATTGAAGCGGGCGAATGCCCAGCTGCAATTTTATGTGATTTGAGCAGAGCTTTTGACTGCGTGAATCACCTGAAACTGCTGGATATGCTGGAGTGTTATGGTCTGAGGGGAAATTCACATGCCTGGGTATCCTCGTTTCTCAGCAACAGAACACAATGCGTCTCATTGAAATTTGATAGAGGTGGTGTGACTTCATTCACTACATCAGAAAATAAACTGATCCGGACTGGTGTGCCCCAGGGATCTATCTTGGGGCCGGTTCTGTTCCTACTATACATCAATAACATCGATAGGGAAATATCATACTCATTATTCACAGCATATGCAGACGATATCAGTATATTGATCTCGGATAAGCAATCTGATATTTTAACACACAAATGCACAGATATCCTGAATTTAACTACTGTATATTTCAACAGGCAGGATCTATTTTTTAATGCAAAAAAAACGCAGGTGATTCGTTTTCATAATTACCAGAATAAAACTGAAGCACTTCAACTGAATATTAATAATACAACCTTACAAAGCACCCCCAATCCAGTTAAATTCTTGGGTATGCAAATGGATGAATATCTGAACTGGATTCCACACTGTGAACAATTGGTTTCAAAATTGTGCTCATTGATCTATCGCTTTAGGAATCTGAGAGTCGTTTTAAATAAAAAGCAACTCATCAGTGTATATTATGCTCAGGTTGAGTCCAGGTTGCGCTATGGTGTTTGCTTGTGGGGCAACTCAACAATGGGTAGAAACGTCTTTATTGAACAGAAGGCTATTTTACGATGTATATTCAATACTCCTAGAAGTTGTTCATGTAGAACTCTATTTATATAAATCAGAAAACTCTAACTCTCACAAGTATATTTATATATGAAATTTCAGTTTATGTATTTACTAATAAAAGCGACTTCATTCTAAATAGTGATATTCATGACAAGAACACTCGTCAAAAACAAATGATACATGTCAAAGCTGCAAAATATAAAATTACTCAAAATGCTCCTAAATGCATTGGACCTAAAATATTTAATCATCTGCCAGAAATCATCAGAAGAGCTGAAAATTTATCAATATTTAAAAAACGTCTGAAGTCGCTTTTGTTGATCAACTGTTTTTACACACTCGATGAGTTTTTATTTAGTCCTCTGTGATCCACTCTATTATGTACGTGATATATTGTCTAGACCCATAACCCATTTTGCTTGTTTTTATTTTATTTTATCTTATTTATTTAGTTTTAGTTATAAGTTAGATATAAGGTGCTGACTATTCCTATACAAAATGTAAAATTTTTGTCATTTTAAGGAAAATAAAAGATTGATTGATTGATTGATTACTGCGACATATCATCTGTAAGAGAAAAAAAAGTTATTTGTAACTAAGTCATAGTGAGCTATGACTTACATTTGAAAAA